AAGGTGCTTTTTTAGATCAAGCTATTGGCAGGCGCTAAGATCTAATTAGTGGCACTTGTCAGCGTATCCACTGTTAGCGTAACACACCCGCTTTAAGGACACTGACTGCTATTCAATCTATAACAGTAAAAAAAGTTTTTTGTTTTTAAATCCAAGCTATTGTGACACCAGATGTAATTGGTGGCACTGACTGGGGAAATGGGCACAGTATGCACTGTGAGCCTGACACAGAAGCTGACAGCAGTGGCAGACAACTGACTGCTATTCAATCTATAACAGTGAAAAATGTTTTTTGTTTTTAAATCCAAGCTATTGTGACACCAGATGTAATTGGTGGCACTGACTGGGGAAATGGGCACTGTGAGCCTGACACAGAAGCTGGCAGCAGTGGCAGACAACTAAGTGCATTTACATTACATAGAAAAATAAAATAAAATAAAAAGCATACCCTTATCCCTAACCTAGCTATGCTTTTCCCTATCTTATGAACAGCAGCTACACTTTCCCTCCTCTTACTAAGCATGCAGCTTGAGAATGAATCTAAAATGGATGCTGTCCAGTAGGTGGGAGGGTCTGCTAGGGAGGCTGTGCTGCTAATTGGCTGGAGTGTGTCTGCTGACTGTGAGGTACAGGGTCAAAGTTTACTCAATGATGACGAATAGGGGGCGGGTCGAACCGCGCATATGTTCGCCCGCCGTGGCGAACGCGAACATGCTATGTTCGCCAGGAACCGTTCGCCGGCGAACCGTTCGGTACATCACTATGTATTGATATCCATATCCATGTTACATCATAACTACTTGAACATAATATATACATATATAACAATAAAAAAATGAACACAATAAAATATTTACAAATGTTGATCCAATAAACAATTAGGCAATCAGAAAGATCTACCTGCTATGGTACAGTCGTATCTTTGTAGATAACAAAATCAAGATGATAACTTTCTAGATAATAACTGTGTATCACTATCATATTCCTACAGACACATATAACATAGTATTTTCATTCTCAATACCTGATATTACTTAAGTACTAATACATGTATTACTATAATATACGTCCACTTATATTTCCATGAATCAAATGTTTTCTAGCCACCTTAAACTCTTTAGGTCATTTGTATTCAAGAATTACATTCCTATACCATTAATACCACCTAGTGATGATTGTATTAGTACTTTACAATCATAGTATTTAATTTGTATATTCAGTAGGCTCTCACTACCTAAAATATATCAACACTACTTATAAGTCTCATTCAAAGGATGTGTTATCAACCATGAAGTTCTATAATAATTCTTCAAATAATGTTCATGGTGTTGACAATACTTATTGTCCTAGAAATTCTTCACCCAGAAATCTTTCTATCATAGATTTCTTTTTGTTCACATAATTATAATTTTGACTAAAATTCCACCTTGTAGTAACAAACTTTTCATTCAATCGGAGAATGGTTAACTTTAAAAGAACTTGGAAAGAATAATATAAATTCATTAGCATCACTCTCTTCATTAGCATTGTGATGACTTATTAATGTAATACATCTTAAAAGCAGGATTGTCCTAATGTTCTGACCAATCCGTATTCCTTAGTACACATCAACTGACTAAAATAAAATAAACTTGGGGTCATACTGCCCAGAAACTCTTATTCCTAGTCTGTGTCTAACAAACTCAGGGAAATCATAAAACAACTTATAACAACGTATTCATTCATTGGCTCCCATCATATCCAGAAACCTATTCTCCCTAGCCCATACCTTTTATAGACTTAGGTCAAATATAATTGTGTACTATACTCTTTCCATTCAATTCAATTCCTCTTGGATCTCTGAACTCTTATATCCAAGGCATTCTTAATGTATACCATTACTTAATATTAATCAATATAAATTATCCTTCCTTAGTTTTCTTCCTTTTGTTACCATTGTTTGTTTTACTTCACCTCGATATAAACAAATTACTCATTCTTGTGAATCTATGAAATACTATTGCACTCAATCTTTGTAGTATTAAGTAACCATGATCCTTATTTTATCAACTTCATATTTTATCTACCTCTGATACTTCTCATCCTATGTATAGGTAATAATATAATAGTTCTTTTCATAATACTATCCTTTCGTAATTGTACTCCATGTGTTTTATAGCTATAAGTAGTCTCTTTTGGTATTAATACACTCATAACTGTTAAATAATTTTTCATTGTCTGTTTTCTTTTCTGTTAATATTTAGGAATATATATTAGTGTCAATCTTTTATTTCTTTGTAAGTCTTCTGTATTGAATGAACTCTGTAGAATATTCCATCACAGTTTGCAGATCAGATGAAAAGTCTCTTTCCAACAGTCGATGTCCAGTTGTCTGAAGGAATGCTTTCCTGATTTATTGCCACATGGATCTGTCACGCTTTACCTACATTAAAACAAATAACATGTGCACAGCATCAATACAATGGCTTACAATGTTTATATCTCATTATTATTACACAGTTTAACATTGAATTACATGGACTACACAACATTCTCATTTCTTCTCATGAGATCTACCATCTAGTGGTCATTACATTTATGCGATGTGATGTATAATCTTTAGATTTCCTTTTATATTAAAATCTTTCTGAACATTTTATTAATCATACCCCCCTTTTAAACTGTTTAATAATCTGGAGGTATAACCTAATCACATATCAGATGTTACAACTAAATATTGTTTTCCACTATACTTTAGCAATAGCAGCCATCTTGTCCTAACACTGGCACCATTTTGTCACATGAAACAAACTACAAAAAACATATATTGTTTCCTTCATCAAATGTATTTGTAAATCTAGGTTTTATTCTATCAAAACTTTTGTCTTCTATGTAGTCAAAATATATGTATGTCCAGGCTTTGCAAAATATAGTAATCCATTATCAGTCATGACATTAAAATCTCATTCTCATGAATTAAATCAAAGATTTTAAATCAACCTCAGAAGTAACAACATTGTTTTTTCTTCTGTAAAATGATTGGAGTTACTGTATAATTGCATACACCCAATATAACATTGCATGTTCCTAACTGCTACATTAGTGTATTTCATTCTCTCATATTTGCAAACTTGATGTCAATTTTTATTTTAATTAATTACCTAATACTTTCTTATAACACACATAAAAACAATGAAAAAAACAGTTCAGACTAATAATTCATTAAAACAAACTAACATAGATCTCTATTCTTGGCTGTTCTTAATTCTGGAATCGGCCTGTGTACATCTGTTGGCACACATATCCATACTCATTCCCTAAACTGATCATATCTATTGAAGTTATCTGATTCTTATAACTTTCTGTGTTACACTGCATTGCTTGACTGTCTCCTAATTTTGATTTAGCTAAAATTTCTTTTATTTGTCTGATTATCAGTTTACAAGGAAAGGCTTTAATTGATTTATCTCCACATGTATTTTCTCTGTCAAAATTTTCAATCAACAAATTTAATTTCTCATTTGCTTTTGATTTGATATCTCGGATAAAATATCTGCAAGATCTTAAATAATGTTGTTTATTGCACCAAAAACAAATAACTTTAGGAGTTATATTTGGCCTTTTATTTGAGCAAATTGGGAGTGGCTCAGCTGTCTGTATCACTCTTTTACACTGAGTCCACGAAGAAGGAGGAGGAGGGGTGTAAAATCTGCACTTTTTTCTCTGCCTAAATCCACAAGTCGTTTTAACCCCTTCATTATTGGTTTCTCTCCTTAAGTTATCCATGAATAAAGCAACGTCATTCTGTGAGGATACATTTTCATTATCTGTTGGTTCTGGGATTAGATTCTGTGCCTGTATTTTTCTTGTATTAACACACACTAGTTTAACTTCATTTCTAAGCTGGCAAATAAGATCATTTCTTAGTTCAACTCTATCCTCTAATTCACAGACTTTTTCTGACAATGTTCTCTCTGTTACATTGTTACACTGTTCATTTAAATCTGATTTGTCTTCTGTTAACCCATTCAAATTTACTTCTTTTTCTGCTGATTCTAAATTGTCTTGACCTGCATTTCGTTTACAAATCAATGCATTGTAAGTACAGACTAGTTTCATAACATTTCTGATCTTTAGTTTTTTCTTATTAACAAACAATTTCTTGTCAATTTCACTATTGGCAATTTCACATTGTGTGTATAAAGATTGCCACAATACAGCATCTGAATAGCTGCTATTACATGCAAACTGCAATTTACTTTCTCTGCATTATTATTTATGAATTCCATGTTACTCACCAGATCAGTTATTTCTGTCTATTTCGTTGCTTCATCCACACAGCTGCGCAGATCTTTGCTGGATGATTGCCAATCTCTGCCACGTGCTTGCTTCTAGAATTCACGTTGTATCTTGTGCTTTTTGTCTCAGTTGTAGAAAATAGTCTTGTACAGTCTTTTGATTTGAAAACTTTCTTTTTCTTACAAACCACAGTTCTTCTATGACAGTCAGTCTAGATTCTTTTTTTCTCTTCAAGTTTGTTTTCCCAGTTCCAAAATAGCTTTGTAACTCGATTCTTCTCTCCCCCCCCTTGAAGTGGGAACAAAACTTGAATAGAAGACTGGCTGGCTAGCCAATGTAAAATGTAATTTGGAGAACGGTGTTAATGTTGAATCTTCTTAATTTCTTCTTATCTTCAGTTGATTGATATATATACGTCTTTTGTATATATAGTCTTGGGCCAAATGCTCGCCACAATAATATATGTCTATATTATTGAAAAGTAGTAATACGCAATCTGACTTACAGTTTCTTCAGGTTTATTCTTAGTTACAGATACATAATAAAACATAATAAAGGATGTTACAGGATTATGGACATTCAACAGCAGATGGTAATTGCTGTACTTCTGATGGGAGAGTTACATCGTTGTACAGAGCCAAGAGCCAAGCCAAGACTCAAGCCAAGACTGAGCGACCTCGTGTCCCTCTCTTACTATAAAGATGTGCTAAACTAACGTCAGCGTTTAACTCTAGCCATATAAGGACAAAACCCCCGAATCCACATTCCAGAGCTCTCGGACAAAGAAAGCCTTGTGACTTATTGATACCATCTGTTACTTATGTCAATCCACACATCCATACATTCACACATTCAATAGAAACATAGAATATGCAATATTCTACAGTTAATTTTTATTCCTGGGCTACCATACAGTCTCAAAGGCAACATAGACCCAGCAAACCAATCTGTCAAACTTCAAAGGAAAAGGGGAAAGCCCTATATTTGACCCTTGTAAATTTCCAAAAACTCATAAAACCTGTATATGGGGGTTACTGTGGTATTCGTGAGACATTGCTGAATACAAATATGCGTATTTTATTGCTGTAAAATCAAACAGTATTACCTTTTTCTGATTTCACCCTCCCTTACGCACATGACCCAAGCAGCCGACATAGGCAACATCACGTGGTCAGACCACGCAGATATCACAATATCAATCAAGGTCCCCGACATAGCCAGGCCATGGTCCTGGAAACTTAATCCCACACTGCTACACAACCCGAAAATAACAGAAGCAATCCAAACAGAACTGACAAACTACTTCACACTAAACGCACCCTCGGCACCCTCACCAGGCGTACTGTGGGCTGCCCACAAGGCAGTCCTAAGGGGAAAAATTATAAGCCTAGCATCCCACCTAAAACGAACACAACTGGCTGAGTTAGCAACAGCCCTCACGACTCTCAGATCCCTAGAAACGAGCCACAAACAAAACCCCACACAAGACATCCTCACGGAAATAACAGAATGCCGAACCAAAATTAAAAACTTCATGACCAAAGACACAACCAAAGCTATGCAATGGACAAAACAAACCTACTATGAAAAATCCAACAAGGCCGACACCCTACTAGCCAGGAAGCTGCATCGCAGACTTGACCGAAAACAAATAAACACAATACAATCACCAGACGGCACCACACACAGCACGCCATCTAAAATCGGCGAAGTCTTCCAAATATATTTTGCCACACTATACGACCATAGCCCCAACACCAGACTACAACCCGAAGAGTCCAGACAATCTATAGACGAATACCTACAGAAGATACCCTTACCAGCCCTAAAAAGGGAGGCTATATCCAAAATAAGTGCACCAATCACTATCGAAGAACTAGCCAAAGCCATCAAAAACACTAAACCCAACAAAAGCCCGGGACCGGATGGCTTCACGGGCCTCTATTACAAAACATTTCCTACTATACTCCTCCCCCACCTTTTCAACCTCTTCAACACGATACTACAGGGAAACCCCATACCCCCCGACCTCCTAAGAGCAAACGTGTGCCTGCTTCCCAAACCAAACAAAACCCACCTGGACCCAAGCCACTTCAGACCGATATCCTTACTAAATGTAGACATAAAACTACTTACGAAGCTACTTGCAGACAGAATAAACCCCCACGTACATAAACTTATACACCCCGACCAAGTAGGCTTCATACCCCACAGACAGGCATACGATAACACCAGACCAGACCTTTGACCTCCTTTGGACGACCTCTCATCGACGAATCCCCACCCTATTCCTGTCCCTAGACGCCGAAAAGGCATTCGACCGAGTATTATGGCCTTTCCTTTTTGCCACCCTACACAAATTCCAGTTCCCCGACTCAATTCTCAATGTGCTCAACATCTTATACTCCACACCGGAAGCGAACCTCCTAATCCCAAACGCTCAACCCCCCTCTTTTCGCATCTACAACGGGACGAGACAGGGCTGCCCCCTTTCCCCACTCTTATTTGCCCTCTCATTAGAACCCCTACTCCAAGCCCTACGCCTAGATCCAAAAATAAAGGGAGTACACGTCAGGGAAGAAGAATATAAAGTGGCAGGATACGCAGACGACCTACTCCTTACCCTCGCGGATCCGATAAACTCACTCCCACCAATACTACACACCATACAAGAATATGCACAGGTCTCAGGCTACCGCCTCAACCTGGATAAAACAGAAGCGCTCCCAGTACAAATCCCCCAGGAGGACCTAGACTCATTAAAAATAAACTATCCGTTTCGCTTCAACCCCACGCATATACACTATCTGGGTATAGACTTACCAGCAGACGTCTCCCAGACATACCGACTCAATTATCCCCCCCTACTTCAAAAAGCAACAGCGGACCTTAAAACATGGGAATCCCACTCCATCTCCTGGCTAGGCAGGGTGGCATGCATAAAAATGAATCTCCTACCGAGGTTCTTATACCTATACCAGACACTACCGGTCCAAATAGTCGCCAAGGACTTTAAACTACTACAAACACAAATAGATCGCTTCGTATGGGCCAACAAACGGGCCAGAATACATAGAGACATCCTCTACCTCCCGACACGCTCGGGGGGCCTAGGCCTACCTCACTTCCTCCACTATTTCCACGCAGCCCAACTAGCACAGATTAAAGCACTACATGCACCCATAGGGCTGAAAAGATGGGTAGACCTTGAACATGACCTGTTCGGCCACGATTTCCCTTCCCTCTACATCTGGGTCCCAAAACAAGCCAGACCACAACGCCCGCACACCACACCGGCACTTGACACCGCGATTGCAATCTGGAACAAACTTTCCATAAAACACGGGCTCGCATCGAACCCTTCACCCCTGACACCAATCCTGAGAAACGAACACTTCACTCCAGGCATGACCCCAAAAGACTTCGCGCACTACGAAGACAACGACCTCGTCAGGACATATCAATTTTTTCAAAACCAAAAAATCATAGCTTTCACGGACCTGCCACAAACCAGACCACTCACCACACACGACTTCTTCCGCTACCTGCAAATCAAAAATCTCCTAGACACCCCTACCTACAAACAAGCCGGAAATACCCCCCTCACCATTTTTGAGCAGGCATGCATCCATGCCCCCATACAAAAAAGTCAGATCTCCACAACCTACGAACTACTGCTCAAACCGATAGGGACACACCCACCGGGGTATGTAATAGCATGGGAAAGGGATCTAGGACCCCCCGCAGACCCCACAGACTGGTCTGCAATCTGGGTAGCCACAGCGACAGTGACGATATGCGTAACACATAAAGAACAGGCATACAAAACCCTGATGCGCTGGTACCATACTCCGCTAAAACATAAGCAAATGGGACTATCCACCTCAGATAGATGCTGGAAAGGGTGCGGCCAAAAGGGAACGTACTTCCACATGTGGTGGGAATGCCCCCACATTGCACAAATCTGGACCGACATAGCGGCCCTGGCCTCCAGAGTCCTTCATGACACCATCCCAAGAGACCCGTGGTTATGGTTACTATCCAAACCGCTGGTCGGTACACCAAGGGCTCATAACAAACTACTAGCCAAACTAGCCTTGGCAACAAGGAGAGCCATAGCCTCCCATTGGGGCTCACCCACAGTCCCGTCACTCACTGACATAAAGAAAAAAATGAACGAAGCCAGGGCAATGGAAAGTTTATCTGCACTCATTCATGACACCACAATGCATTGTGACAAAATATGGGATCTGTGGCTCATGGAACCCACCACAGCCACATAAGACACCCAAAAAAAAAAAAAAGGGGCAACCAACCACAACAGGAATCACACATAAACACACAATCCATAGGGGCCAAGACGTCAGTGTCCAAGACAGGTTCACAATGAAATACGCAACTCCGAAAAACCACACAACCCACAAATCAGGGACACCTTCTCATCCCCACCCAACCCCCCTACAACCCCAGCAGAAACCCCACAGCGTGAAATCCCCATTCCACACTCCACCCCGGAACTGAACTTAACCCACTCTCGCCCATTAACTTGCAGTTCCGAATCCACGTACCATACCAAAGAAACTCGATCTTAGGTTCAAACATGTTAATATTTGTTTGGTTATGTTTTGAATTGTTTAAATGTATGGAAAATCGACAGAACAGAATCGTATATGAGAAAATAATGTTGCGCTAGCAGTACACTACTCTACTGGTATATACATCTCTGTATCACAATGCATTACTACACTGTTTATCTTTTGGCTTTTGCACAAGCCCACACATTACCTTCTGTCCAACATCTGTATACTTACCATTTCTGTCAACCGGAAAATAAAGAATAAAAAAAAAAAAATCAAACAGTATTATGACTTTCACAAGCAGAACTTGACATTCACATTCCTTTATGTTTCATATATAAATATGTGATAGA